AGCAATGTGTCCTCCTTCAAATTCGTATGGGTACCTGCAATCAATAATTCTAAAAGATTCAATGATATCCTCATAGTTTCCCATCAGGAGCTTTGCTAATGTTCGTGGTGTGATAGCTTTGAGATCCTTGTGAAGACCTTCGATCAAAGGCAGCGCAAAGCATCTGCTGAAATCACCTATAAGATTTGTGTTCGATGATGATTTTTGTAAGGCCAATATTATAGTAGTTTCACGGTTTTGATCTGCTTCTACTCCACGTTCGTGGAATATTTCTGTTTGTTTCAGTCTACCAGCGTGTAGTTCTAGTGAATTGAGTGAGTCTAATCCAAAATTGACCAATGAAGCTTTTCGAAATGATGGTTTAGTGGTATTTTTTGCGGAAACCGTTCGATCTTGAATCCGAGGATTTAACATCATCATATCGAACTCTTCCTGCAAAGAGTGTTCTGTTTCACGAGTATCAATATCGCGAGGATCTGATGGTTTTACTCCAGTCGAATACATTTCAATATCACTATCATAATTGGGAAACTCAACTGATTTCATCGAATTATTAGACTGCATTTTATTTTTGGTGATCTACAAACAAAGAAATAATGATAATGTAATTCATTGAAAAATTTACTCATTTTTACTGCCCTGAAGAAGCTTCCCATTAGAAGCGAAAGCTTGGCAAAGTAGAACAGAGATTTGATTTTTGATTTTTTGACTGAGAGACCCCGTTAATCCATTTTGCTGTACATTTCTCCAGTCGCTAAGATTATNGAAATGAAATAAAAAAACTGAGAAAGTAGATACTGGTGGATGATCCTTTTCCAGTGTATTTTGAGGTTGTTAATGAAATAGGCTGAAATGTATGTTAAAGTTTCGTTCGTTCGGGATTTCTTCTAATTTTGTTTACATTTTCATATCATTTTCATTTGATATTTGAACATGAAATTTTTATTGAAATAATTTATTTTCGAGAAGAAAACTCAAGTGAATTGAATATTTTAATCGAAGAACGTGGTTTTGTGGAATATAAAAACTGATGAAACAATAACAAAATTATATTTATGAATGGCTCTTTTTGAAGGCGTTGTAAGTTTTCTGTAATATATTTTGATTTCTTGGACACTTTTCCTCCCAAAAGACGGAGTACATGAAACTTTAAAAAGAAGATTATTTTCTCGTATTTTAATTTTCCAAAAGTTGTACTGACATGTATGCATAATAAAATGTATGATCATCTCCAGAGAAAAGCTACAAACTAACAATGAAATTTTGAAATTTACACAACAAAGAGTTGAAACTTACTGTTGTTGAGGTTGGCCGTGTCAAAAAAGATGTGAAATCAGACAGTTCACTAAGTTAAAATAGCTAGATTCCTCACTAAGGCACAATTATAACATGCAATTGCTTGATAAACCATCTGAGTTTTGTAAACTTGGTTTGTAAACTGAAAAATGAATATAACTTTAAGACTATTAAAAACTATTAAACCTATTAAAATTCATAGAGATCTGATGTTTCAGATGAACTTTTCAACAAAAATTGGAACCTCTGGAGACACCCTACATTTTGTTTTATGAAAGAGAGGACATTGGCAGATCAAGATCTTTGGATGGTGTGGTGCTGCAGGTTTTTTTCGGGTTTTCCTGCAGCAGAAAAAGCAAATGCGCCACTGGAATGAATGAAGTCGCTCGAAGCGCCAATTAATTTTTGTTGTTCCATAATGTCATGATTTGTATTACTTTCTTCTTCAATATAGTAATATTACGTATAATAAATATATGATTTAGATCTTAATTTGTTTATAACTTTTATAACTTTTCATGTGCTAAAAACGGTTTCAACACTATTTTTAGACATCATTCCGGACTGAATGAGCCATCTTTAGGAAAACAAGGTCAAATTAAAAAATAAAAAACACAAAAAATTACATAAACAATAACGAATGATAGTCATTGATAATAAATAAATACTTTCTTCTTAAAAAAATAGTGTGAACAGCTGAATATTTTGAACTTTGTAGAAACTCTACATTAAAATATATAAAACATGTATAGACATATACATACATAAATGAATATATAAACATATATACCCGCACATATATAGCTGGTCAAAACTTATGCGAGCTAAAGACTAACGAGGTCTTACCTTTTAACGTGTGATTCCTAACAATGACAAATCGATTGCAGTCGTATATTTTACCAATAGGTGGACATTTTGCTCACTTATCTTAAGGTCGAAATTGTTTTTTATTTACATCATATTTTCAGTTTATGTTTGTCCATGGATAGTTTTTAGAAGTGACGAAAAAGTTGTACTTTCAGTTGCTTAATCTAAAAAAATAAAAAAACTACAAAAAAGTGAGTTGCGTTCTTTTTTTCCCAATATTGTTGGCTGTGGTACCCACTAAGACGTCACTGGACCTAATAATTTCAAAGTAGTTCGGGATAAATAAGCGCCTTATTACTTCAAATAATTGTAGCAAATTCCAACCAAATCGGTGTAAGGATATTTATGATATTCCAACTTTTAACCTCAACGCCCTGTATCTCAAAAACGAAGCAAATACAGACATATGAATACCTGCTGAAAAAACGTTGCATGTAGAGGAAATTCAATTTCAGAGAAGATTGAAATTATGTTTAAGAAGTAATTTAAAACGGTAGCTAGCAAACTAAAAACAATATACGTTTTTTCCACTAAATAAAACTCAGTTGCAAAAACATACTATTTTGTTTACAAAACCTACCTATTCATTGGTATGTTCATTAACATTTTGGTGTTCAACAACAGAAAAACGGCATACAATGTTTTTTCAGCCACCCATTCATATGTGCATTGGACCAATTTTTTTTAAAACGACCTAACGAACCAACCTCTGAAGTTTCGTACCGTAGTTAGGAAACACCCAGTATATCATTTATGAAAGAGTCATTCAGAAAATCTTGAGAGCCATTATAGCATCCATCTGTAAGTTTTGTCCGTTTTTATGAGTTTACTTATTGTAATATATCAGTGACTACTTATTCAATGTAATCAAAATAAGCGCCATTCGAATCAGTGCACTTTTGCGAACGCAACGCAAGTCGATAAATTCCGCCATAAAAATTGTGTGCTTGAGATTAGATGAAGTCGACGACGGCCGTTTTTGTCTGGTCCTGATTGGCGAAGGTTCTCCCGGTAAGAAAGTTACGGAAGTGCTTAAGAAGATGGTATTCTGTTGGCGAGAGATCTGGTGAGTATGGTGGGTGAAGCACAACTTCGACGCGTTGTCGTGGAGCAGGATCGGACCTCTTCTGTTGACCAGTACCGGGTGCTGCTGCGAAAGTTTGGTCCGGTTGTGGAATGTTACAGTGAATCACGCCAGCAGCTGACCACCATACAGTAACCATGGCCTTTTTTTGGTAGGTTTTTGCCTTTGGGAAGTGCCTGGGTGGCTCATCGGTGTCCAACCAATGTCCTGAAGGATTATGTGGAAATAAATCTGTTTTATATATTCATTCATTAAATTTTTGAATCACACTTTCTGAGACAACTGATGAAAAACTCACTCAATTAAATGATTTTTCTTATTACTGAGTTTTGTAGACCTAACTGTTGACTGTGTCATAAAAAATTGAAAATACTGATTTGTAAACAGGCATTTGAAAAGATTCAGGTCTTTGTATTGCAGCTCTCGCATTTTTGTCATTTTGTCACACCCCTCATCTCGTTTTATTCAGTTATTGAATTTTCTCTTCTGTTTCTAATTTATTTCTTCAACGTGTTAGGAATCACACGTTGAAAGGTAAGACCTCGTTAGTCCTTAGCTCGCACAACATTCATTTGGTTCAGATGAATTTGCCTTAGGATTGGTAAAATATGAAAAAAAAACAGTTATTGATAATTTATGTATTTGTATTTACAGAAAGAAATTATCACCATAATAAAATACAAAGGAATTTTCAGTCTGTCAACTAAGGACAAATCACAATTTACAATTGATTTCAATCAGTAAGAACATATGATAATATGCTGAAGTACACAAATACTAATTCCAAACTACAATCTAACTTAAAACCAAATAAATATTACTTGCTTACCGATCAGCTCAGAACATTTACATGTCCATAATGATAGGCAACATCACATGTTTATTGCGAATTAATTGCACATATTTTTAATAAAGTAGGACTGGATCTCAGCCAAAAAGTCAAAAATACAAAAAACTTTGGTGACAGCATTGCATACTACTCTTTCATTGAATGACTGAGCAAAGCAACATTTAAGTTTAGTGAAAAATAATATTACAATGAGATTAAGGAAAATAAACACATTTTCAATTCAGAGTAAAATTCCCCTCACAAAGTGATTTCTCGAAATATTTTATAGCTTATCACTCGATAGCAAAAATTTTTCGTCAATAATTAAAAGGAAACAGTTATGAGCTTATTAAAACTTCAATTGATAAAATTAAGATTGATCCACCATTAATGTACTAGAATGCATGCTCGATAAAGGAGTTATATAAACTATAAATGTCAATTGAAGATCCTAAAACACCTAAGAATTTCGAAAACATTAGAGGCTTCAATAATAAATGTCTTATGAATCAGAGCTGATTCTATACAGACAAAAACCTAGTAATTATTACCAGAATATCAAGGTATAATTCATCTTTGGACGCTATATTGATAAAATTAAAACTAATTCAGCTAAGATTTTGATAAAATTATATACTTGATTGATGTTTTCTGGATCAGAGCTGATTATACCAAGACAAAAAACCTCATATTATTGAATTATATACTTGATTGATAAATGTTTTATGGATCAGAGCTGAGCGTATCCAGACGAAAATCCCAGTAACTCATACCAGAATATTAAGTTACAATTCATCTCTGCATGATAAATCCAATGATCTTCAATATCCTCAATGTAAGATACATTTTCTCAATTTTCTATACACATTATTTACACAGTAAAAGTAAAAGACTTAGTCTTACAATAATTTCTTGGCGCCAATGTGGTGCAACACTTTGTACAATTTTAATTTATCAATTCACACACTCTCAATTTTCCACTCTCCCAATTTGTACTATATTCAAATGGCAGTTTAATAAGAATTTTTACAATCCTAGCCTTTTCAAGCTCCTTCCATTTGTGGGACGCTGGCGAGAATCGCAGTTCCAGGTCTTTGATTTCTGCCTGAAATGTCTCAGGTCCTCTTCATGATCAGGGTGGAGCATTTCTTTGTATGCCACAGGTGTACACATCTCAGAGTACTGCTCAAAGAAGCTCTTGTAACCTCCCTCCAATAGGTAGACCTCAGGGAAGTTCAAGGAGGGGTAATCAGTTTCATTTTTGTTTCTATCCTCCTTGCGTAGGTAGCGGTAGCTGAAAAAACAAAAAAGGCATTGCAGAATAAATTTAGGATATATTTATTTTGATAATTGAATCAAGATGTAAGTAAACAAAAACTAAGATCTTCCTAAATATTCAACTGAGACACTTACAGATTAGGTCCACGCTCGCTTGAGAATTCGCAGTGGAACACTAGGATATGCCTCTTGTTGGAATGTGTAGCAGTGATCTGGCTGTCGTTCAGCAATTGCATGCACTGCTCTTTGGTATAGAAATTAACAGCTCCAGCGATATGTCCACCCTCAAACTCGTATGGATAGCGGCAGTCAATAACCTTGTAAGACCCAATCATATCCTGGTATTCCCCTCTCATGAGCTGTGCTAAAGTGTGTGGAGAAATGGCTTTCAGATCCTGATGACGGCCCTTGATCAATGGCAATCCGAAGTTTCTGCTGAAGTCCCCGATCAAATCTGGTTCTGTGGAAGATCTTTGTAGAGCGCACATTATGCTCTCTTCTGTAGCGGAAAAAGCCCGCTGAAGCTGGGGCCGCGAAACTGGTACAAAAGCTTCCTCAATCTCTTCATCGTCGAACATTCTGGAGCGTTTCACACCCCCACTAGGCTGTAAGTCGACTGGTGGTTCAGGTCTTTTGAATGACCTCAATTCTGAGTCGCCTTTAAACAGGCTGGTGCGAACTCTGCTGTTAGTTGGGGTCACCTTAGAGTTTGTGGCTTGCAGGGAGAGTGCTCTACGAAACAGCGGTCTGATTACGGCATCTTTTGGAGACACCACCTGCTCTTGTCTGGGTCTCTGAATTAAAGGGTTTGAGATTAATTTGTTGAAGTCTTGAGGCAAGTTCGTATTTTCTGTTTCGAGGGGCTCTACGTCACAAAGGTCTAAGAATTCTTCTTCCATGGAGCACATGGAGCTGGAACTGAAGGATGCTACGGTTCTTGACTGGGAGGCGTATGACAAGAAGTTTTCACCATGGTAACTTGCTCCATATCCGGAATCTCTGGAATTAGAATCGTATTCCTCAAGAGGTCGACGTCTAGCGTGCGGACAATGGTTTGGAGAGGATTCTCTGCACGGAACGGGGGTCCCACTTTCGTACATGGACAGGTCATCATTTTTCAGAGAATTGAAAGACTGCATATTTTCCTTGTCAAGAAACGGTTCGTCAATACCTTCGCAGGTTATTTTTGTTGATCTGCAACAATAAAAAGCCATATAAGTACAGATAAATGCAATAGTTATGGGAAAATGTAAACCAAGGAAATCTCCAGCTACTTATGATAATTTTTTATCATTATACGAAAAAAATTTCCGTTTATGCGGATTGTTCTTCAAATACAACTCAGTACAACTTCGGCTGCATCAAAAACTTCACAATGAGGATGTTTAATGCTTTGTTATGAGAATTTCATATACATTCTGAAACATTGGAATCATGAAGAGACATATCAGTATACCTATATGATAGTTGAGATGAGGAGTTCTTCAAACCGAAGTATGAGAAGGGTCGAAGACCCTTGTCATGTCATGGTACAGAAATATTTCAAAATTTTGAAATTCCTTGTTGATCAACGGGGTTAGCAGTGGAATCAAAGTAGTCTGATGAATGAGTCAAGGAGAGATTCTTGCTACAATTACTTTTCTGACTAATACCAGGACGGATATTGGATCTACCTGTATCTTACAGGAAAATAGTTGTTTTGAGCAAACCAGATTCTGTTACGTAAGAAGACTGGGAGGAAAAAATAATTTTTATTCAAATATTGAATTTTTTGAGGTTAGCATTTCTTCATTTCAACTTTTGTTGATTGATACTCGTGAAAAGTGATAATTAGTTGACGGAAAAATCAATTATGTGTGGTGGGGTATACAGAAAGTTCTCTCAATAATGCAATAGTTCATCCTCATTACCTTGAACAGAATGAAAAGGAAAGTCAGTGTCAAGGTTAATCCGATTACTGCTTCCCTTCATTATTAAGAAGCCATAATCCCTATTTTACATCTTTGAAAGGAATATGTAACTGAGATGGATTTTATGTAAATATGGGATTATTTATCGAACAACCATTATAGTATGAAATTGTTTATTTTGTTCTCTTTACTCAAAAAGTTTTAAATGTCATTAACAAATACTCCCTACTTCATGGTTTACCCAGGATTTGACTTGCTACCTCGAAGTTGAGTAAAATATTGTTCTGTTGAGTGGAAATATAACCCATGCACTGATGTTACCGAACTATACGATGAAGTATACATACATTATAATTCTTCAACTTCTGAAACGTGCGTCGATAACAGTGTTGCATTTCTAGTGCGTCGGAACAGTATTGGTGTTGCAATCATTCTACGCCACAAGTCAGTCTACTTTTATTCAAGGAAAATATTCCTAATTTTATATTACCCCGTTTTTATATTTAGATTTTAAGATAATTAATTAGTGATTTACCATTAAGTAACTCTTACTTTAAATTCGGAATTATATTTCTTCAACTTTTGACTCCAAAATTTCATATTGTGAGTTTAATATGTCATGTCGTATACAGGGCGTTGAAGGTTAAAAAAACGGTATTAATAAAATATCATAAACATCCTTACACCGATTTGGTTGAAATTTGCTTGTTATTTAACAAGAATTTAATTGAAACAGTGATTAAATGCTGGAATTGTATAATTTCTGTTAAAAACTAGCACAAAATTTACCAATGGAAAATGTTGAAATTAATACAGACCAGAGTGATCTTATTTTCAAGTACCTACTCATTCATCATTTTGATGATAAACATATCTTTTTTGAATATTGAAAATATTATCTTTTATTGTAGTAGTGAGTTGACATAGTCAAATAGAACGGAAAATGAAATTTGATCAATGTTGAGTTTCGATCTTTCTTTTGGTCATCCTCTTAAGAACAATAATAATTTGTAGAATTATGAATTTCCCTAAGAATACCTACCAGAAAGAAAAGTCAAAAAAAAGTCGACATTGGTTAAATTTTGATATTCGGTCAACCAGGTGTAATTAAAATAATAATTGGGTCACAAAAACTCTTCGTTTTTGTCTAAGACTCGCCTTATGGGGGGCAATTGAACAAAATTTGGTACTCACGGCAAATTACAAAATTACATAAACTGCAACACATCACTAGATATGCATTACGTTTCGGAGATGATTCCCCTCCTCTCAGGGAAATGTTTCACCAGTGTTTTTATACTTGATCTAGGCAATTGATAAGCATATTTTTTGGGAAAACACGTATTAAAAATATTCAGAACTTCAATGACTTGATTGAAAATATATGAATACACTTAAACAATTTCAATTTAAAAAGGGGATGTGAAATGAAATGTGCGATCCCACATGACTTTTCTAATATGCTCACACCTCGAACATTTCATTTATATATATTTTAATGGATCTTTGACAGTCGTTTCCGATATGAATTCTTGTAAGTAACTTTTGGTGTTTTCTAGACGATTTGCATATCTTAGAACGAGACTACATTTTTCCATATTTTTTTTCGCCCTCACCAGGTGCATAGTGGATGTCCCTGTATTTTAACTTGTCATCCGCTATGCATACAGATACCTTGGCGAATTTATGATAATGAGCAATTTTCGCGCCAAACCACTTCATTAACTCTGGTTCATTCATTTCACTTCTCTTTTACTGGGTGAACTGAGATTTACAATTTTTAATTTTCCAAAACATGAAGAAAATAAGCTGAAAGCGAATTGGGGTGATATTGGTTTTTCGAGTGACGACAGAATTGCTTCGTAGAATTTTCATTGATAAGTTATTATTATTATTATTGAATGATTCGGCCACCAAATACGACTGTTGCAAAAACTCCCAACATTGAGCACCAAAAAACAAAAAGAACGCTTATACACAAACCACTAAGCCAAGTACATAGGTGTAATTAGTTACCTTGTATATTGGCACGTTGTGCATGGATCACTACTGGGAGAATCCCACATGTTAACTAAGTAAAACGTAAATAATCCAAAACAAAACAAATACTCCAAGTGAGGACAAGCACAGCTCACTATACGACTGAACGACGTCTACTGACCGTACTTCCACCAACTCGATCGAACGCTTACTGAATTTTCAAAGGCAACGGAACTCTTTATTAGAACTGGTCTGGCCCACACTACAGTTAGAAGTAGTGGGGGTACACCCCACTGATGTAAGCAGGGGATGTTTCGAGCATTGACAAGGGCGCCAAAAAGAAAAACCGGCTTATCGTCAGAACGCCAGCGTCAATTTATGCCAATTTGTTCTATTTACAGCAGAAAGAAAGAGTTATGCGACTTGGAAATTTTGTGAATAATATGGGAACGGGAGGTTAGTTCGTTCACATGCAGGTGACTTCATTGTGGATGATATTGGAACTATTTTGGAATAAATTCCGAATAACTAAACTACTGATAATTACTTGGGAACATTTTCTGAAATATCTCGGAGAGAAAAAAAAATCTGTTTTTGAACAGAATACAACTAATGAAGAATGAGAGGTCGGTAAATCAGTATCCTCGAAATGAAAATTCAAATAAGAAAAAGTAAAAAATAACTATTATTCATCACTTGAAGACGATTGTCTATACTAGTAACTGAAGCGTAGTAATGGAGATTGGAAACTTCTTTATATCTCTTCAGTCTTAGTTTATCATCAACATTTTACTTATTTTTCTGAACATTAGCCTAACCGATATTATTAATTTTTAACTTGTAGGGGTCAATCATTCGTTTTCTTTAGAACTCTGGGCATTACTCTCATTTTCCATCTGACTTGTGGTTACACTTTTTTTGAAAAATGAGAGTCCCAACACATTATTAACCATGCATATCCAAACAAACATGACTTTTCGTTACTACTTCAAAGCAGCAGAAATTTTGTAAAATACTAGATAAAAACAATGAAATTATATTGCTGCATGAAATATATTGAAACTTCAAAAAAGTTTAATTTCTCCCAAGTAAGAGAACAGTCCTGAACAGTCCACATATTTTGAAGTGACAATTTTACAAAATTCCCAACTTTTCGCTGATTATTCGACTTGAAAAGTTAGGAAATTTCAGGCCGTGAAGATAGAAAAAATAATAGTAGAAAACAATAAGCACAATATTATTTAAGTGTTGTTTCCTTTCATTTGTATTGAATATTCCTATACATGGTGGATATGGGGGTACAGAATCAGCGAAGGCATTAATACCAATCAGTTTCATGTAATTTGCATTGAAGAAACTAGTCCACTGCATCAAAACCAATATGCATACAAATCAAGTATGTTGACGGAAATGACTTTTTGCCGGGCCCTAATAAAATAGCACCTTTCTCGGATGTAAAGGGCACATTTCATTTAACGTTCCTAGAATCAATCATCTAAGCGTCGAGGAGAAGATGCATCGATGACAGTGGCGGCGCAAGACGTAAATTTAATGTGGACAAGGTACATTTCGCGAGGCCTTCTGATGGTGCAAGAAGAAGGGTTTAACAAATAAAATAAAATTTGAAACTGAAAAGTTTTTATTCCTTTATTGAAATGAATGAAAATACTTTTTTCTAATTTCCACTATAGTTATTTAATTTGTACGGCCGGTTTCGGGTTTTACCCTAGTATCAAGTATAAAACTTTTATTCATTAAGAAACACTTACCAAAAAAATTGAAATTAAAAAACCCTGACTCGAAAGTAACGAAAAAACATCATGTCTGAGTCGCCGTATCAAAACCCCAGTCAAAGTCACTGACACCGCGACTATTTAGTCAAGAGACCTTCAAAATGAGCCCAAATACGTTGGAGGAGGTGGTGCTTTGCAGATTGTTCTGGTTGCAGCATCGAGTCAAAGTAAAAATATTATTGTACATACTTTTAAAAGTATTGAATTTGCATTTCAATAAGTTATAATCTTCGAAACGAGCTGGTAACTTTCAAACGGCTGGAGCGATTTTCATTGAACATTTCTAAGAACCATCCCGACAAAATTAGCTAATAAATAAAAAAACCGCATCACAGTTGGTCTATTACTAGAGGAGCTACAATGCTACAGACAGACACACAAATACACAAGTCAAACTCATAACATCCTTTTTTTGCATCAAACCCAACATTTGAAACATCAATTTGAATACTTTTCGAAGTGAATTTGAAAAACTCATGAATTAAACTCAACTTCATTTTGTTCAAACTTGCATTTGCTGTAATAACCCAAATTGAGGAACATTCCCCATTATTGGTGCATTTATCTTTGATACTATATCTGCTTCAATGTGTGGGCGGTTGCCCACACCGCCCACGCCTTACGCCGCCTCTGATCGACGACACAAGCTGCAGGTAGATAGGCTACATGCTTAGAAGGACAACCAATATGGGAGAAACAATAGTGGCATGGATTGAAAGGGGGGATTTTGACCCCTGTTATGCAACTTTGTAATGGACTAGCTACTATGTCTTTTGGATAATAGCACAAAGTATAGGGCGATGCAGGCGACTTATTCATCCTAGTCCAAGGCAAATTTAATATTTTAAATACAATGACCTGTTACTTGGTGAAAATCAATAACATTAATGATGATAATTACAAATTTTCGCATTATAGAATTTATTTCAAAATTTTCACTACAACAGTGGCTTCCTCAGTTGTATTGGTACTCTACACTTCTTCACAATGCAATATATAAAAATTATAGACCCTGGTTATTTATTGATGTCCTGTCTTCTTCAGTGTTGAAATTCAAGAACGGAAAAGAAAACAATTTCAGATAAAACTCGAAAACTCTCGGACTGAAATTAGTAAACTCACCGAAATCGTTACGAAAAGTGATGTTGAAATAATGACATCTTTTATCGCTTCAAATAATGGCAATTTGATGAAGTATATACTCATTTCACTGTAAGAATGTTGCAGTTTATTATGAGATGAGTCGAAATGCGTTATTGAAAAATAAAAATAAAGTTATAGGTAAATAGTAAACACGCTGAAAAAAAGTGTCAACAATAAATTGAAATATTAGCACTGCCTATATAAAACAGAAAAATAATGAGAATAGTTCACCAAAAATTACATATTCACGCCGTTTCGTCTTTGGAGCATTGTGTGTGACCATCAAAAGAAACGTATTCCTTATTATTTTCGCCTAATTAAAAACTTGAGTAGAAAAATGTGTATATTTTTGTGAATTTTTTCATCCTGGGGTTCTTCGGAGATACATTTTTTAACAATTTCAGCAATTACCAGTTGATGTTGATTATCGTAGGGAATAAATAGTACGAATAATGACTTTTACCCGAAATTTAAACAATTTTGGGAATGTTTCTTCTTGCATACCATGTGGTACAACCACCTCGATAGTTTTTGTAGTTCGATAAAAAAAGCACACTTTTTTTCTTGTACCAATAGTGAACGTGATGTACGCAGTGGATCTAGGAAACAACATCAATTATCTTTACTCGCGAACATAACTGACTTTAATAGATGTCAACTTCCACATTTGAGTTGCACTTTGAAGATAGAGGATGTAACTTAATGTTTCATAATTTTTACATTTAGAATTGTGAACGAATGCATCCTGTATTTGATTATAATGCCTCTTTCTCTAGAAGTCGTCTATATACACTGGACACAAAAAATATAAATAACATGCTTCTTTTGTTTTATACCGCCATGTATTGAGCTATTATAATTCATTTTGTCCCAAAACAGTGCTACAAAGGACACCATCCAACACTGCATTTATCCACAAAAGTAACCCTAAATCATTTTTCTTCTATACTCGTACCTACCTACATCTTTGTTGTCATTGCTAATACCTGGTTTGAATTTTAATTTATCCTGCATCTTTCATTTATTTTTAGTGAAAACATCATAAGCTATGAATGTGAAACGAGAATTTTGTTATACAAGGTTTACGAAAGTTATTCTGTATATTGACATTTTCAAATCTACTTCTGATGTATTTCTCAAATAGAATTAGAAAAAGAGGCTCTATGTCGTACATTGTTCTTTCTCAATGCTATTATTGTCACTATCAACAAATAACTATTTGTAACTTTCGTGACTCAATAACACAAAGAAGGTAATATTTAGACGCTATTTCGTACTGTTTATAGTTGCATATATTTTGTAGTTACGATCCGCCCCGGCTCCGCACTGGCGCAATGCTGATACTAAATATAAATTCACCCACCAGAAAGGGGATGGGGAAAAAGTTATGAAAAAGGAAATTTTTTTTTTCAAAGCGCCCTTTCCCCCGCAGCTAGCGCCCCAGTTGAAATGTTCAAAAATCCTTTCTTATTACACATCTACAACATAAAACGAACCTACATACAAAATTTCAGCCTCCGAAAATATAACGGAGAAACAGTGATGAAAAGGTAATTTTCATATATAAACGCGCCCTTTTCATCCCCAGTGGAGCGCCAGTTGGAATATTTGAAAATCCTTTCTTATTGGACATCTACAACATAAAAATAAACCTACATACAAAATTTCAGCCTCCGAAAAAGTAGCGGTACGGATAAACAGTGATGAAAATGTAATTTTCATATGTAAACGGGTCCCTTTTATCCCCGGGGGAGTCCCAGTTGGAATATTAGAAAATCCTTTCTTATTGGACATCTACAACATAAAAATAAACCTACATACAAAATTTCAGCCTCCGAAAAAGTAGCGGTACGGAGAAACAGTGATGAAAAGGTAATTTTCATATGTAAACGCGCCCTTTTCATCCCCAGTGGAGCGCTAGTTGGAATATTTGAAAATCCTTTCTTATTGGACATCTACAACATAAAAATAAACCTACATACAAAATTTCAGCCTCCGAAAAAGTTGCGGTACGGAGAAACAGTGATGAAAAGGTAATTTTCATATGTAAACGTGTCCCTTTTATCTCCGGGGGAGTCCCAGTTGGAATAGTTGAAAATCCTTTCTTATTGGACATCTACAACATAAAAATAAACCTACATACAAAATTTCAGCCTCCGAAAAAGTTGCGGTACGGAGAAACAGTGATGGACCTCTTTTATCCCCGGGGGAGCCCCAGTTGGAATATTCAAAAATCCTTTCTCAGTGCCCATCTAAGAAGTACCTATATACCAAATT